AATTACCGATCTCACACGAAAAAGGTCTAGGAATGAGTAGCTGTTTACAAATCATTCGTGATTCTGCATAGCGCGATAAGTTTCAATGTCATCATTATGTGGGAATGAATAAGCATACGGATAGTGCGGCCAGTGCGAGCCTCTGTGAAACACAGGTGACGCACTGGTATACTGATAACAAGCGATCATGCTACTGGATAATAAAGCATAGATCTCCATGAACGAAAAGGAAAAATCGCTTACTATTCGTCTTCGATTTTCACCCTCGCATCACGTTCGTATGGAAACACATTCCCACAGCCGAGCAATAGACCGCTGCAGCTCTCGCGATATGTTCGATAGCACTTCGTGAATAGAGAAAACTGAGTGAATCTTCCAATAAAGACCTTCTCCTGCAAGAACTATTATTAAAACTGTGTTCCTAACAGGAGTAAAATGGACAGTAAGAAGTTGCTACGGTAATTGTCAAATAGATAAAACCGCGACTTTTTCAGCTGGTTTTGATTTCGAGTCCTTTTCCAAAGAAAAAAGGTAAGAGTTTTTATATAACGAGCGCAAATGAAAAAATTTCTGAAAAATTATTCAAGAAGCTTGATAACCGCAAGTCTTAATCTCGAACCGCGAACCAAAAGTTGACAAGTACATGTAAAAGTACAGAATACCAAATCGAAAAATGATGAGGAACAAGTGTGAGTCAATTAAATCTCTTCAGAAATTATCTAACTACAAGCATTACTAATACTATGCAATGCGGAATCTTATCTTCTATAAGGTTGTGCAGAAATTTGGAGGTCGCGAACTCAATTTGGCCAAAAGTTACAGCAAGCTGATACATTGCTACATATTTCTTTTTTGGGTCTGAAATATTAAGCAAGGACAGGAAATAAAAAGGCACAAACCTTATCTTCCGCGGAAAGTTTTTTGAATGCTGGGAAATGATTAGCCCAATCAAGCATATGCACTACGTCTCGAGCCCAACTCCGCCGGAAATTGTACGTATCCAGAAATTCCGTCGGTTTCCAGTTTCTCTGAACGAATCTTGTCTTTTCACTCATGTCTTGGAAATGAACTCAATCTTTGATGTAAGCACAAAACAAGGAAGAGTGCTTTTGCCTACCCTAAACCTGGGACACTGCGGACAAGTCTTTTCTATCAGCTGTTTTACGGTCGAGTCCAGCATGCGCGATATCAACTCGTCCTCATCAGCCCGCGTCATATCGCTTGGCGTCACCGATGTGCTCTCACAAAATCTAAAAATAAATACTATATCTGTTATTCTCGCTCTTTTGTTCAGCGTGCTACCGTTGCAGGCACGCTGAGTAAATAGTCTTTATTCAGACGCCAAATTCGAATTGTTTGGTAATATCAAAAATTACTTTTCAGTCGAGTTACGCGATGGCTGCCGAAAGAGCGTAAGATTGC